GGCCCGGGCGGTGCTCCAGGAGCTCAAACGGTGTTACACGGGCCCCAGGAGGTGTTATATGAACCCAGACAATGTTATACGGGCCCTGAGTAGTGCTATAGGAGCCCCAGGTAGTGCTATATGAGCCCAGACAATGTTATATGAGCCCTGGGTTGTGCTATATGGGCCACGGGCTGTGCAATATGGACCCCGAGCTGCGTTATGTGGGCGCAAACGATGTTACGTGGGCCATGGGTGGTGCTATGTGAACCCAGGTGATGTTATATGGACCCTCAGTAGTGCTATATAAGCCCCGGGCTGTGCTATATGGACCCTGGACAGCGTTATATGGGCCTGGGCAGTGTTCTATGGGCTCTGAGCCACGTTATATGGGCCTAGGAAGTTGTATATGGGCCCCGGTGGTGGTGTATGGGCCTGGATTGTCTTGTATGGACCCTGGGTGCTGTTATAGGGCCTTGCATGGTGTTATACGGACCTGGGTGCTGTTATATGGGTCGCGGTTGGTGGTCTAGGGTCCTGGGTGCTGTTGTAGGGCCGTGGCTGGTGCCGTATGTTACCTGGCTGCGGCATGGGCCTAGGAAGTTGTATATGGGCCCCGGTGGTGGTGTATGGGCCTGGATTGTCTTGTATGGACCCTGGGTGCTGTTATAGGGCCTTGCATGGTGTTATACGGACCTGGGTGCTGTTATATGGGTCGCGGTTGGTGGTCTAGGGTCCTGGGTGCTGTTGTAGGGCCGTGGCTGGTGCCGTATGTTACCTGGCTGCGGCCAGCGTCACGGTCACCTCCACAGCTGGTGTCATATGGCCATGGACGGTGTCATCGGGCCATGGATGATGTCATCGTCGGGCCAGACCTACGCGGCCGTGATGTCACACAGCCGTGGTGTCAGGCGCTGGCGGTGTCACGGGGTGGTGGCAGCGATGTCACGTGGCGGTGGCCCCAGCTCAGGGCCCAGCCCAGGAAGCCCAGGAAGGGGAAGTTGGGTGTTGGGGCCCGATCGGGGACCGTGGGGGACACAGGGTGGCCCCCTCCCCATCGCTGCCTGCCGCCTACCAGAACAAGTTTGCCGAGAAGCTGACGATCCTCAATGACCGGGGACGGGGTGTTCTGATCCGCATCTACAACATCAAGAAGGTGGGTGCGGGGTGGGGGTGGGGCTGGGTGCCTGGGACCCCTGAGGGGGACGGGTTGGGGTACAGGACATCGGGGTACCCCACCCCGTCTACTGGGGAAGAGCCTGGGTTCTTCCTGGAAGGAGGGTTGTGAAGAAACGGGGTGGTGGGATCGCTGGGTGGGTTCTGATGGGGGGGGATG